ATGCTTCCAGCACCTTGTTGAATCTATGCCACGAAGAATTGAGGCAGTTCTGAAGGCAAAAGGGGGTCCAACCCGTTTCTAGCATGGGGTACCTAATAAAGTGGCCGGTGAGTGTATATGTATATATATATATATACACACACAATTTGGGGGTATTATATATTATGGTAATATTTATGTTGTGGACAGAGCAATCAATATACAACACTTTGATAAAGTTAATTTTATATATTTTTTAACAGTGCAATAAGTCCATTCGTGAAATTTCCTCACTACTAAATATTCCACGGTCAACTGTTAGTGGTATTATAACAAAGAGGAAGCAATTGGGAACAACAGCAACTCAGCCACGAAGTAGTAGGGCACGTTCACAGAGCGCAGTGCGCACACAGTGCGCAGAAGTCGCCAACTTTCTGCAGAGTCAATAGCTACAGGCCTCTAAACTTTGTGTGGCCTTCAGATTAGCTCATGAACAGTGCGTAGAGAGCTTCATGGAATGGGTTTCCATGGCCGAACAGTTGCATCCAAGCCTTACATCAACAAGTGCAATGCAAAGCGTCAGATGCTGTGGTGTAAAGCCACCGCCACTGGACTCTAGAGCAGTGGAGACGTGTTCTCTGGAGTGACGAATCACGGTTCTCTGTCTGGCAATCCGATGGACGAGTCTGGGTTTGGCGGTTCCCAGGAGAACAGGACTTGCCTGACTGAATTGTGCCGAGTGTACAGTTTGGTGGAGGGGGGATTATGGTGTGGGGTTGTTTTTCAGGCGTTGGGCTTGGCCACTTAGTTCCAGTGAAAGGAACTCTTAATGCTTCAGCATACCAAGACATTTTGGACAATTTCATGCTCCCAAATTTGTGGGAACAGTCTTGGGGATGTTCCTGTTCCAACATGACTGCGCACCAGTGCACAAAGCAAGGTCCATAAAGACATGGATGAGCGAGTTTGGTGTGGAGGAACTTGACTGTCCTGCACAGAGTCCTGACCTCAACCCGATAGAACATCTTTAGGAAGAATTAGAGCGGCGACTGCGAGCCAGGCCTTCTCGTCCAACATCAGTGCCTGACCTCACAAATGCACTTCTAGACGAATGGTCAAAAATTCCCATAAACACGCTTAAACCTTGTGGAAAGCCTACCCAGAAGAGTTGAAGCTGTTATAGCTGCAAAAGGGTGGGCCAACTCCATATTAAACCCTATGGATTAAGAATGGGATGTCATTAAATTTCATGTGCATGTAAAGGCAGACGTACCAAAACTTTTGGCAATATTGTGTATATATATATCCGATTTTGATCCGCCAAGTAAACCAATCCGAAAAAATCCACAGAACATTGCGCTTCTCCTAGCAACTCAACAGTAGTGCAGTAGTCAATGTCAATTGAATCGATTTGATTGATTTTTTTTCAATCAGTGATTCCATGACTCACTGATATCGATACTCATTTGTTTAATTTCAATAAATTGATCAGTATTTTTGAATGAATCACTTGAGATTTAATGACTCACTCAGAAAGTGGCTGAATTCGGAATAGCATACTACTACACATACTATTTCATCAATATATGACAAAAATAGTAAGAGTGGTGTGTGTTATTCTGAATTCAGACAGTTTTTGAACAAATCATTTGAATGAATGATTCAAAAGAAAGGCTTGTCACCATGTAATGATGGAACCTCCTTGGTGTACCTGCAGAAAGAGTTAATACAATGCAAATCCTCACTATTAAAGACCCCCTGTAGTGGAAATCAAGCTTTTGATGTTGTTTATTTGTCTATGTGGTGTTTTTAATATGCTTTAAGACAAACCATGTGTAAATTCATAAGTCAACACCATTGCTGAGTATTTTCTCTTTAAAACTGCAGTGAACCAAAGACAGTCTCAAAAACGTGGTTTGAAATCGCTGGTGTTTCTGACGTCACAAACTACCTTGTAACCAATCAGGTCAACGTGTGATCGTCAATGACTGGATCTCTGAGCTGGTGTGAGTGAGTGGAGGCGGGGCTGATTTGCATATTCATTTAACTGTGTATACTAAATGAGACAAGGGTGTAAAGTTACATTCATGCTATTTTAAGGCATAAATATATTTTTTTCAAGGAGAAAACTTGTACAGTTGTAGCATAAGTTTTTGCCCTGATATTTTAATGTCAGTGGAAGTTAATGTCAATGACCCTGCTCTTTTACTTTAGAGTTGCTGCTGTTCCTAAATGCTTCCACTTTCCAATAACACCACTTACTGTGGTGGCTGAAATTTCACGAAGATGGCATCCAATCACAATAACATGCTTGAACTCACTGAGCTCTTCAGAATGACCCATTTTCACAAATGCCTGTAAATGCAGACTGCATGGCTATGCTTGATTGATATGCACCTAGATCTGATCGAAACACCTGAATTCAACTGTAATTTCAACAAATTTGCCATCAACCACAGCCATTGTTTCTGACATGTTTTCTTACTGAAATATTCCCAACTCTGGGCTCAAAGAAAATCTTGAGTTTCCCACTCGTAATTACGACTTTGTGGTGGCGTTCATGCACGTTCAACTTCTAATTCCACTCAGTCTGTCATGACTTGAATGGAAACAAACAGAACAGAACTTGAACAAACAGTGATGTTTGACAGATTCAAGGTCCAGAACTAACTAAATATGTTGTTTCATGATTCATTGAAGAACTTAAGTGACCCCCATTATCACTTTTCGAAGCCACAATTTGAAAACAGAAAAAACTTAAATGTCTGCGAGAGCTGTTATCCAAATCACTATCCAGTGCCTTCCATGGAGAGATCAGAGATCAGAGAAACACAAGTTCAGCTGCATTTCATACTCAAACTGACTGTGAACAATCCAGAAAATCTGTGTGCTTTCTTTTAATGTCACTGAGCGTTATCTTTTCCTGTCCTCCGCCCTTCCCAGTAAAGGACACTCTTTCGGCACAGAGCCCCGAGGGTAGACAAGTACTCTTTAGCATTTCATCTCATCCTACTAGAGCCACAACCCCCCTGTGACCGAGCGCTTTTCCAGCTGTTGCTGCATCTGAGGCTGAAACTGCTGGTAATCCGGACCGCAGGGCTCTGTGCATCATGACTTTAATCAATTTACACATCAAACTGTTCACGGCTGGAGGGATCACTTGATGCTCAGGTAGAAGGCAGAAAACAACTGGCAGTTTTTAATCGCAATTACATCTGCTGAGGAAAATGACAATGGATTTTCGGTTGAGCTGATAAAGTGACTCAATTTACCACAGTTGACTTTTGTTTCCTTTTGTTGGAAGGAAAGACATTTTATTAAGTGCCAGGCCCGTTACTTGATTTTGAATGTTGGATGGTGCATTAGAAGTGTGTTTTTTAAAACGGCACTTATTTTTTAGATATCCCTAAAAAATCCCTGAGATATCCCAGACAGCAACATACCCACTAAACATCAGACGTCTATTGGACAGGCAGATCATGTCTATATTGCGTCAGTCGGTCCAAGACCAATTTTTGACCTTTATGCAACGTGCAATCTAGGTCCGCTATTTGGACATCTAACTATGAGCCCACCTGGACGTCAATATAATGTTCAATATTTGAACGCCGGAATATGTAGTTTTCTGGATGTTATGTGGACGTCTAAGACAGGTGCAGGAAATCGACATGATCTAGGTTTGCAAAGTTACCTCCAAACGAGGTATTTTCTACGTCATGTTTGGAAGTCAGATTTTGGTTCCCTGAAGGTGCAGACTGTGACGCCATGTGGACGTCTAAGACAGGTGCAGTCCGGAATTGGTCCGCATATATATACATGAAACAGGAAGTCCCGCCTGCAGTATGGTAGTTCCACAGGAAACACCACAGGAAAAGTGAACGACAGCAACTTCAAGCAAGAGATGGGCCTAAATCTGAAAAAATCCTTGTTTTCAAGGTAGGTTCGGTCAACTTAGTGAAGTTTGTTAAATTATGCTTTAGTAATTTTAGCTGTTTTAGCGTTATTGTCTTAAACTAGCCTACTTAAACCTGTTGTGGGGGAGGGAGTGAATCTCCACTAGCTAGCGTTAGCTAAACATTGGCCATAGTTAGCCTACTTTTGAAAACAACTTTCGCACGGCACCAAAGATTAACAAGTAGCAGCTAACATCATTCCGCTACATGTTTTGTACATTTGCTGGGGTTTTATTTTGGCCGTCGTTGTTTGCCCAATGATCTGGCCGTGATTGCACTTTAAAAATCCCACATTCCAAGGCCACTATGGCTTGGTTCTCTGTATGGCAATACTTTAAACTGACTAATGCCGTGTTTTTTGTGGTCTGCCACTGGCTTTGTCATAAAGAAAACTAAAATATGATAACATAACAACATAACAGAATGTTTGCAAACCCTTGCTTGCTACTGTTTTATGCCAGTGACCCACTAACATCACAAAACATAATGTTGGTCATAAAAATGCAAACTGTATAGGTAAAACTCAAGGCTAAAATAAACACTAGTCATGCAGCACTATTTAATGTTCTAACAATCAACCTAAAAGTAAACATTTGGGCAACGGGAACCACCTGTCAGTCATATGTTCCCATACAAGGGGTGATATAAGCTGTTTAACAGATCAAGATGTACTGTAAATACCAGGAATTGAAAGCTGGCATTCTGATCTTTAGTCTCACATTCGTATTTTTATCTTAAACCCAAATGTCTTCAATGTACAACAAAAAGAAAGAAATTTGCCTTGCTGTTCCCATAACTTTGGACATGACTGATTGTGATCTTCATTTGTGTTTATTGATTTCAGTGTACCAGAAAAAAGTCCTAGACATACTCGCTGACATAAGAACTTGCTTAAAGCAAAGCCAACCTGCCAGTTCACCAGTAAACATCGAAAAGATGGAGACTATGGAGGACTTTGACCGTGAAGAGGAATGTCTCCATGATGCGGAGGCCTAGGATGCTTTGGTAGTTGTATAAGTATGGAAGTAAAAGATAGCTTTATACAATACAATGCACTCATTGTTGGTTTATTTTGGGGAGGGCCAGTCAACCTTACTGACTAATGAAGTTATTCTAACAGGTGCTGCAAATATCAAAAGTTGGTGGAAAGACCACCAAGGACTGTGTCCACAAAGCCCTTGACAGGTACGTTAGTACATACAGTATGGACTTTGTTTTTTTCAATGTCTGAATCACAATCAGTTTCATTGGCCATCCATGCATTGATGCATGCACTGATGGAGCACCTTATTGGCTACCGAGACAGATGATAGGAAATTACTTTTGACCCCGGAATTAAGCCCACAAATATCCATCATGGTGGCGGCCAATTTCAGCCCGTTTAGGCTGAGTTTGCTAGAAATGCATAAAAATGGATCGGAGGGGGAGGGGGAGGAGCTTCTCCTCACTGTCTCCAGTTATATTAATACCTCCATGGCGTAAACCCCCCCCCCTGACCGACATGACTGTGTGTATACAGAATATTATTTGTGTATATGTTTGTGGCCACAGAACATACTTTCTTCTATTGATTTCTAAATGTAAATTATTTTCCTTTAGACTCTTCTCTAATGCCGTAATGGCATCTTTTAATATGAAGGGGAGGGGGCAAAACGGCAAGAGGCCTTTCGGAAACACAAAAATATACAGAGCACTACAAGGTAAGGCCAGATAAAAAAAGAATGAGGGACTTGATGTATGACTGCAGAGTGCCTTTGTATGATAGTAATTATGTGTGTTTTTGTACTTGTGCAGATGGAGTTATGAAGTTCGACCAAAATGCTACGGAGGACTCCATTAGAACTTTCACCTCAGAACACCTTAAACACGCACCACAAAGAAGTGGAGGGTTCACTGCTCCACATAGTCACTGATCATGTACACACGCATATATATATATATATATATATATATATATATTTATATATATGAAGACAAGAGTTCAGATGCAAAAGCCTCTAAGTGCCATTTGAAATTTTCTTGTAGAATGATAATTTTTATCAAGCTTCTATATTTAAGTTCAGTAATTTCACTTAAATGGCAATGAAGATTACCTTGTCATTTAAGTGAAATTACTGAACTTAAATATACAAGCTTGATAAAAATTATCATTCTACAAGAAAATTTCAAATGGCACAGAGGCTTTTGCATCTGAACTCTTGTCTTCATATATACACACACACACACACACACACACACACACACACACACACACACACACACACACACACACACATATATATATAATGACACACACACACACACACACACACACACACACACACACACACACACACACACACACACACACACACACACACACACACACACACACACACACACACACACACACACACACACACAGCAGTCAGTTACTAAGTCACTCAACATTTGCGTCTTGTTTAGCACTTGTGTGATAGTTGTGTTTAACTGAAATTGTACAGATCATACAGTGATTTACAAAAAATAAAAATGAGTGGGGATTGAATTGATTTCTTAAACCTCTGTGCACAACTGTATGCCTATCCCTTTCCAGAGGGTGGAGGGCCTGTTTTCTGTACCAGTTAATTTTCCTGTAGCATTTGGCTCAGAGGCAGGTTTGAACTGGAAATGGATGGATTTGGCTACATTGGAATGTTTTCCAGTTATGTGGTGGAAAGGAAAGCAATCAAATGAAGCTACAGAAAAATGAACTGGAACAGTTAAAATGAGACAAAGGTTATGAACAGTGCAGTATAAAAGCACTGTCTGCACCTCCTGAGGTCCTCTGGACGTTAATACAGGACGTTTGTTGGACGACTAAATAAGACGTTGTTTGGCGTCACAGTCTGCACCTTTAAGGTATCAAAATGTGACGTCCAAAATGACCACATTTGGAGTATAATTAGCCCTTATACAGAAATTCTACGGACGTTAATACAGGACGTTTGTTGGACGATTAAATAAGATGTCATTTGGCGTCACCAGGGCCGGCCCGAGGCATAAGCGAACTAAGCGGCTGCTTGGGGCCCCTTGGCCACCAGGGGGCCCCCAATCGAGTCGAAAAATCGAAAAATATTTTTTTAGATAACTTAAACAAGTGACATAAATTAATGAATTAATATGAATGAATGAATTAATGAATGAATAATTAAAGACAATAAAATTCTGATTTCACGATCAATATACCTCCCTGGTACCAGATGTGGGCCAGATCTGGGCTGACACTATAAGTTGCTCTCTGGGATATCTGAAGTGTATACCATTTTTTTTTTTTTTTTTTAGTTGCAAACTGATTTGTATTCAGCAGGATAACAGATTACATTTTAAAGTAACCCAGTCGATCTCTGGCTTATGTCATTTAACATAAACGTTAGACCCTCAGGGTGACTGGATAATGTTTGAGGGTCTGGGCTGCTAAAACATAGGTTGGAGGTTCAATCCAAAGTACCAAGTCCTATTCTATCATCATCATGCCCTTGACCACAGCTTGCTCCAGGCTGACTGTCATTGCAGTTGGTGCCTTATAAGTCACTTTAGATTAAAAATCTTAAATGCCAAGTATCTAAGACCTAAGAGTAACTAGAGCTGCATGGGCAAGATTTTAAAAAAGGGGAAATTAAACCAAGGCTTTAGTAAAATGGATTGTGGTAGAGTTATCAATTAATTGGTAAACGTCACAAAACGATTTATTTTTCAGATGTTTTATACGCAGTAAATGAATTAAAAATAACATTAACAACAATAAACATTTCAGATATTTTTTTATAGCCACATACTGTACCTTCATTCCAAGGCTATATTATAAGATTTTCAGCACATTTTAGAAAAAAAAAAAAAAAAAAAACTATGAAACACAAAACAATTCACAACACGACAATACAAATAACACAAAATATAGCCCACAAATATTGTTTGACCAACAAAAATTACTATGAAATAAATAAATAAAATATAAAATTACCACTTCTAAAGCAAACATACACATTTTTGTCATTAGACTTATTTTTAAACTCAAAACAAATGCTAACCTAAAAATGGTAACATCTAAATTAGCCAACGCTATTAGAAAAACTAATTCCATTATTTAGCATCACTGATATTATTTAGCATGCTTTAATGGGTTAATTCAAGTAATCGCTCTTTAAGGTAACAATTGCTGGTTTTTCATTCATACACTAACAAGTGACAAATGTAAATGACACACAGTTACGTAGCAAACAGCAAAGAATCGAATTATCAACGAATGTGTTGTGAGGCAAGATGTTCAATGACGGAGAAGGAGGGGGTCAGTTTGACGTCAGTCAAGAGACATTATCTCTATAAATAAAGGGGAAAGAAAGCTACAGATGGAAGTAAGTGAGCACTCCCAAGAGAGCACAATAAGATACCTTCATCTGTCCCGTGCGCGCGTCATCTGAATATGCCGAATTCAAGCAGCTCCACATCTTCCACGAAGAGCATCCGGAGAGCTGCGTCTGAACTCGAGCGCTCGGACTCTATCACGGTAAGAACCTTTAACTTCATTGTGCGCTCCTCTTAAATAGCTTTAGAATGAAGGACAAGAAAGCAAGAAAGCAAGAATAACATTTGACATTTCCTTCTCGTCAATCTTTGTAATAAAATTGAGATGCGTTTACGCATTAAACTTCATGGGAGTTTGGTCATGAAAATCTACACTGTCTACTATTACATTCATTAATCTATACAGATGGGCAGATTTTGACACTTAAGACTCACTTTAAAATGTATGAATTTCATTTTTATCAGAAAACAAGATACCAAACCAAGTGTCATTTATTTATCAGTTAAAAAAAAAAAATAATGACAAATGTTTATAAATGGAATTATACATTATATTATACAAACATATTAATATATATATATATATATATATATATATATATATTATACATTGTTATTATATATATATATATATATATTATTTAAAACTGAGAAAACCTACAGAGTGGCATTTAAGAAGTTAGTTCTGAGAAAAAACATTCGTCCAGCATTTGTTTGCAGATGCCAGTTAGTTTGGTATTATCTGATGCAATTAAATTAATAAATTTCATTAACTTAATTAATAATTTGAGAAATAATATAATTAACTTCTACTTCTCGCATATTGAGTAATGTGTAGATGCACCTCCATCTATACCGTTTTGCTGTGAGTAAATAGAATCTCCGTTGAGAATTACGCACAGCATTGCGCGGTTATTAGTAAACGCAAACGCTTTGAAAATATAGTCTATAAGTGGCTGTAACATTGGCTCAAGAGCAAATGATTAAGTCTGAGCTATATGGCAGGTTTACATACACTGCATTGAAGTTCTTATGCGCTTTTGGAGATGTAAATCACCTCCATCCGATGTCCAACAGGTAAGCAGGTCTACGTAATTATTTATAGATTAGATGCATCTTAAAAATGAATAGACATGAATGTGTCGTCTTCAATGAAGTGCGGTGTTGTCTTCGAACAGTCTCAGAAGTTTGTGGGAAGGCGGCAGAGTTTGATCGAGGACGCGCGTAAGGAGCGCGAGGCGGCGGCGGCGGCAGCGGAGGTAGCGGGACTCAACGAGCAGATCGTGTTTGAGGAGAGCGATGGAAAAGCCTTGCTCAGTCTCTTCTTCTCTCTGAGGATATCAAAGAGCCCAGCGCTGTCCCGCACTCTCAAGGTTTTTGAGGTAAGGCAGATCATGGGATTTGTTTTTTTCGCAACATTTTTTAGACCAGATATCGTGAAGAAAGAAACGCTAAAAGATGGATTTTGAAAATATAGAATCCTAATGGACACAAATAAGAATCCATTGTGAATCAATTAAGATCCTGAAAAACAGCGATTTGGGGTTCTTATTCTCGCGTTAGATCCTTTAGGACTATTTCAAATTATGATGTTTCAAATTTAGTTAGGCTACCGGTACTTTTTTTTCAGTACTACTTAGTCTTTGTTTTGAAATATAAAATATTAGTTATTCGTCAATTAGGTTAAATATCAGACTAAATTATTTGCAAAATGTACGGTACATTGACATGAGTTACAAAACTAGAAAACCCCAAATCTTTGTTTAAAATTGTCTACATTTAATCTAAATATGTTTTTCTTCATATATATGTTCTTGAGGAACAACAAAATGCAAAAATGTTTCAAATTAAATGATCTACTTATTAATGTATGACATTATTTTATATGTAATAATATAATAATATATCAATATTATGACATTTATTTATTCGTATTTAAATTGCTAATTCATTCGAAAATCAAATGTTATAAATAGTTTTGGTCGCACTTTAGTTTGTGGAACATATTCACTATTAAATACTTCTTTTGCCTCAATAAACTCTTAATTACTGCTTATTAATAGTTAGTAATGTAATTGTTAAGTTTAGATATTGGGTAAGATTAAGGGATAGAATATGAACATGCAGAATAAGGCATTAATATGTGCTTTATAAGTACTAATAAAGAGCCAATATTCTAGTGACATGCAAGCTAATAAGCAACTATCAATGGTGAGAATTGGTCATCGTTTTCATTGTACATTTGAGAGTTCACCAGATTTTTTCACTTTCTTAATGGCATTGCCACAATATGTGCATTCATTTTCTTTGGGGTTTTATTGTAATGTTCAACTACTGAACACCACAGACATTTGAAGCCAAGATCCACCATCTTGAGACCAGACCCAGCCGAAAACCAAAGGACGGCTTGGAGGATCTGGAGTATTATGTTCAGTGTGAGGTGCACCTGTCAGACGTCAGCACGCTGGTCAGCTCTCTGAAGAGGAGTGCAGAGGACGTCAAAACCACAAAAGAGGTCAAATGTGCGTCTATTAATACGTACGGTTGCTATGTTTTTCTTTTCCTTATTTGAATGTCATTTACAGTACTTTCCATGAACGCTTAGTACTTTTGTCGTTCTTCAGTTCATTGGTTTCCCAGAAAAATCGCTGAATTGGATAGATGCCATCATCTTGTCACCAAATATGATCCCGATCTGGATCAGGATCATCCAGTAAGTGTTGGAATGGTTCCTCCAATATAACTACATTTGATTACCCAAATTCTGTCATGTATTTCTTATATACGTTTTTTTATGTCTTTGCAGGGATTCACAGACCCTGTTTACAGGAAACGACGGAAGATGATTGGAGAAATTGCCTTTAAATATAAACAGTATGTTGCAACAGTGTTTATGTGTTTATGTTTGCCTCTCTGGACATGTAGGCGCAGATATTTGACTGACACTTGTCTCTTCCCAGAGGAGAATCGATTCCTAGAGTTGAGTATACGGAAGAGGAGATCGGAACATGGTGCGTTGTGCTGAAATAAACAACCTATCCTTGATGAACAAATTAGTTCAAATTTCTCACATGCAACCAAATGTGTGCAGGCGAGAAGTGTACTCCACCCTCAGAGATCTGTACACGACCCACGCCTGTAGTGAACACTTAGAGGCTTTCCAGTTGCTGGAGAAACACTGTGGCTACAGTCCCGATAACATCCCTCAGCTGGAGGATGTGTCCCGCTTCTTAAAAGGTACAAATCAAATTATCGCACAGCTAGACAACAGTGCAACCCGTGCATCATTCAACATGCTGTTGAATATAACAAATCATGTTTGGTTATTAGTGACAGAAAACACTAGCAATATGTTAAGCGTTTCGGAAAACACCTCAGCAACCACCTAGAATACCTTAGCAACCACATTGCCATGCCACAGCAACCACCCTGCAACACCCTGGCAACCACCTATAAGTCAACACTAACACCCATAGCAACTCCATAGCAATGCATTAGAAAACAACCTAGCAGGGACGTGCACAGGAATTTTGTGGGGCAGTTGCTCTGACCTGAAAAAGAGACACAACCCCCCCACCCCCCAACCCCCCCCCCCCCCCCCCACCCCCCCCCCCCCCCCCAAAAAAACTCACGGGCTATATGAAGGAATATATTAAATTGAATTTTGCCCATACAAATTGCCTTATCTGATCGTGTTTATGTCCAAACGCAATGCCTCATATTATGGTCTTATTATTATTTATAAAGATTGCAAAACGTCAGAGATGACAGGTTTATGATATACAACTTTGTAAACAGTATACAAAATGTATTAACAATATGTTAAATGTCACCAAAATACACATGAGAAAAAGATTTCCTCATATTATTGTTTATTGTCTTTTTTAATTATTATTATTTATTTATTTTTTAATTTGAAAATAAATAATCTGGATTGAATTGACAGATGGGGAAAAACTCGCTTCTAATAAAAAAAAAAACCGCTTAGATTTCGGGAAAAAATACAATCCTTTTTTAACCTTTTGGCTTCCCGTACATTCAATTGTGCTTTTTGCTCGAATTCAGTTCTGATGGTACGTATGGTAACTGGGCAACTACGCATGATTTGTAGTATGATTGCGTAAAGGGAACAGGAATTCCGGTAGGGAACAGAATCGACTGCTAAACCCAGTGCCGATCCTGACCTCCCTGGGGCCCTAAGCAAAATTCTGCTAAGGGGCCCTCTACCTGACCCGTGATGTCATGAGCTATGTAAACCATTTGCCATTGCCACAGTCACACCTGACACTTCAGTGCTCCCATACAATCCTCCCTCCTTTAAACAAAACAGTCAAAGAATAAGTACAACAAAGAACAGAATGAAGTTCCAACAAACAATATTTATTGAATAGAGTATTTTCTATAGAATGTTAAGATAACAAGTGAATATTATTAAGTAAGTGAATATTAACGTAAACATAAATAAGAAGAAAATAATAAATTATAACCCTGAGCTTTGGCTTTTGGGATTAACTTTGGTTCTCTCTACAGCCTGGGCATTTTCGGCATCAGTATGATTTTTTTTTTTTTATTATGCATGTTGAAGCCATTCTTGATTTATGGTTATTATTTACTGAGGGATGTGCATCCATATTGACCAGTATGTCCAGCTAATCAACATTTTAAATTCAATATAGCCTATAAATCAATAGTCAATCAATGTCAAATTGTCAATACATTGCTTTCTATCTTGCATAATTAGTGTAGTTGTTTAGAGTTTTTAACACTGAGACTAGATAATCAGTGTCTTGTTTTAAAAGTATAATGTGTACTTTGATTGGGAGTGCCATCATTCACGTGCATATATTGTACAGTATGTCTGGTCTCCACATATTTCTGCTTGAAAAATGCGCGTTTCATTTCATGCACGCGCATTTGAACGCACGATAACACACGCGACGCGGTTATGTTTTCCGAGCTGCAGTAAACAAACACCGTTGCACTTTGTCGTTTATCAAAAACAAACGTAATAAATAATTGTATTTTACTCTCACTTTTGTCAGGCACAAAGTGATGCAAGAGATGCACTGCCTGCCCAGCTAGGTTAGCAAGACCGAAAAACATCAAACTTTGCTAACATCAAACTTAGAGAGGAGAGAACACAAGTTTACCTGATTGTTGTTCCCGCAATTCACTCTCATGGTTTTTTTCTTCTTCCTCTTTTCGTGACCAGAAGGATAGTTTCGCTTCATTTTGCCATGGATGTTGTACACATTAATTGACGCGCTATGACACGAGATGGAGGCGGGGCCTTAAGTAATTTGCGTGGCCCTACGCCGGTCGCGTGCAGTCTATGGTCGCGTGCAGCGCTACAGCCATGTAAACAGTTTGCCCTTCCCTTACTGACTTTCACTTTCGGTGCCCGAATGGAAGTGAATGAGGCTTTGCGATTTTATTTTTTTTAATTATTTTTTTAATATAGGCCTACGTGAAATTCTGCATCCATTGTACCATTTTTTTTTCTTTTTTTTTTCGGTAGGGCAACCTGAGTCGAGAAGGGCATATGGGCAGTTGCCCGGGCAACCTGAGCAACCCCCCTGTGCACGTCCCTGCAACCTAGTAACCCAGACAGTAACATAGTGTCGGCCCAGATCTGGCCCACATCTGGAATGTGTGGATTCCACATTTACCAGATGTGGGCCGGATTTGGGTCGACACTATGTTGCTGTCTGGCAATGCTAAAAACGTCCACCTACAACACCCTAGCTACCACATATCCATAGGCCAATAATTCACACTGCACCGACAGACACAGACCAACGGCAAGAGTCACCAGATCACAGCACGTCACTTCTCAGATAGTCTAATTCTGATTCAACATGTTCAATTGCTGGAAACAAGCTCGTGACCAAGTGACCGCATGTCCTGATTTTGCCGACTTAGCCGATAGCCGATTTGGTGCTTTCCTGGGTCAACATATTTTGTTGATCCTGGCACAACATTCCTGTCCCAAAAATGTAGTCCTAACCCTATCCCTACCCCTAACCCTAACCCTGCCCATAACTTATGCCTAAAATCATAGGGAAATGATAGGTGAACAACACTGATCTAGAAGGATGTAACCCTGGTTGTAATCCTAAACTTGACATAAACCGTAAACTTGTCCCTCAAATCTGATTGATTGACTGGAATGTTGTACCAGGATCAACTAAGATACAGGATCCAGGAACATGCTATACTTGGCGATATCAGGTTATGTGTCAGTTGCCGTCTGTAGGTGCGTTGTGAATTAGCCTTTAGAGACCACCCAGAGCATCCACATAGCAACACCCTTGCAACCCACCCTGAGAATCCTTTGAACCACCCAAATAGCAATGTGTTAGCATTCTCCTTGTACAGTAATAGTGTGCAACAGTGCCCGCACCCTTTTTTATCTGCGCTGGTTCCGGAAGTTTTTTGTTTTTTTCAAATCATTTTTCCAATAGGGATTTAAAAAAAGTTTTTGTTAAAGAGTTATAAGCAATGAACCAAACCAACCAGCTATGGTATATATACACTCACCGGCCACTTTATTAGGTACACCTGTCCAACTGCTCGTTAACACTTAATTTCTAAGCAGCCAATCACATGGCGGCAACTCAGTGCATTTAGGCATGTAGACATGGTCAAGACAATCTCCTGCAGTTCAAACCGAGCATCAGTATGGGGAAGAAAGTTGATTTGAGTGACTTTGAACGTGGCATGATTGTTGGTGCCAGAAGGGCTGGTCTGAGTATTTCAGAAACTGCTAATCTACTGGGATTTTCACGCACAACCATCTCTAGGGTTTACAGAGAATGGTCCGAAAAAGAAAAAAACATCCAGTGAGCGGCAGTTCTGTGGGCGGAAATGCCTTGTTGATGCCAGAGGTCAGAGAAGAATGGCCAGACTGGTTCGAGCTGATAGAAGGGCAACAGTGACTGAAATAACCACTCGTTACAACCGAGGTATGCAGCAAAGCATTTGTGAAGCCACAACACGCACAACCTTGAGGCGGATGGGCTACAACAGCAGAAGACTCCACCGGGTACCACTCATCTCCACTACAAATAGGAAAAAGAGGCTACAATTTGCAAGAGCTCACCAAAATTGAACAGTTGAAGACTGGAAAAATGTTGCCTGGTCTGATGAGTCTCGATTTCTGTTGAGACATTCAGATGTTAGAGTCAGAATTTGGCGTAAACAGAATGAGAACATGGAACCATCATGCCTTGTTACCACTGTGCAGGCTGGTGGTGGTGGTGTAATGGTGTGGGGGATGTTTTCCTGGCACACTTTAGGCCCCTTAGTGCCAATTGGGCATCGTTTAAATGCCACGGCCTACCTGAGCATTGTTTCTGACCATGTCCATCCCTTTATGGCCACCATGTACCCATCCTCTGATGGCTACTTCCACCATTTCACAAAGCTCTAATCATTTCAAATTGGTTTCTTGAACATGACAATGAGTTCACTGTACTAAAATGGCCTCCACAGTCACCAGATCTCAACCCAATAGATCATCTTTGGGATGTGGTGGAACGGGAGATTCGCATCATGGATGTGCAGCCGACAAATCTGCGGCAACTGTGTGATGCCATCATGTCAATATGGACCAAACTCCCTGAGGAATGCTTCCAGCACCTTGTTGAATCTATGCCACGAAGAATTGAGGCAGTTCTGAAGGCAAAAGGGGGTCCAACCCGTTACTAGCATGGGGTACCTAATAAAGTGGCCGGTGAGTGTATATGATATATATGTATATTTATAAAAATAACAATATATTTTAAGTTCATTGAAAAATATCCATATATACTAACATTTAAGTATTTTGAGAGTGTAGGAGACAGACTTGATGACATCATTTGCAATGCTTCATGGGAGTGGGTGGAGATCTTTTGGCACGTGTCGCTTGTTTCGACTCTCTGATTGATGTAATCTTCTGTACAGCATCATGGGTAATGCAGTTTTTCACCAGAAATTCCGCTGTTAAGCATGATTATTTAAAAAAAAAAAGCTGAAATATTTTGGCAAATAACATTGATTAACAACTTTGTAGCTCACAGTAGATCTGTCTTTAAAGGGTTATAAGTTATCGTTCAAAATCAATTTCCCTACGGAGAACATGGAGTTCTTACATCCGGAACCCGACTGTTGCACAGTTGCCGGATCAACTACTCAGAGCACCCTTGCAACCACATAGCCCATAGCGACCACCCAGATCATCCTCATAGCAACTCCCTAGCAACCACCCAGAGCACCCTAGAAACTGCATAACAATGCCATAGTAACCACTCAGAACACCTGGATAGCAATGTCATAACAATCACCTAGATCACCCTAGCAACCACCTAGATAACCCTAGCAACCACATAGCAACACCTTGGCAACCACCCAGAACTTCCTCACAACCACTGAGAACACCTTGGCAACCTCGTAGGCATTTCACAGCAATCACCCAGCAACTACACACCAAAACCCTGGCAAACACTCAGGAAACCTTAGCAACTCCATAACATTGTGCTAGCAAACACCTAGTAATGCCATAGCAATCACCTAAAACACATTAGCAACCAATATATAAACTACCCAAAACATCCACATAGAAACGCCCTAGCAACAACCCAAAATACCCTAGGAATGGCATAGCATGGCAATACCATACCACTCAGAACACCTGCATAGAAATCACCTAGGACACTCTAGCAACAGCATAGCAACACCCTAGCAACCAGACAGGAGGATGGTGATGAGTTTGGCACAGTCAAGCACCTCTCTCTCTCTCTCTCTCTCTCTCTCTCTCTCTCTCTCTAATGTATAAAGAGCGCACAGGTTTCCAGCTGAGGCCAGTGGCAGGTCTCCTCTCCGCACGAGACTTTTTGGCCAGCTTGGCCTTCCGTGTGTTCCAGTGCACGCAGTACATCCGGCACGCTTCCTCCCCCATGCACTCGCCTGAACCGTAAGAGACTTACTGTCACACATTTTACATTTATGAAGACACTTCCTGTTTATTAAGCATTTGATTTACATCCTGACTGCCTAGTACACGGTGAAACACTGCAACCTAATAAAATTGTATGTCAAATAAAATAAACGAGCTTGTAGTGAAAAAGTAGTTCAATATAGTACTTATTACAGAAATAATACTTTTAAAAATAATATACTTAAGTGCAAACTGATTGCAATGTTTTTGGACACTTAACTGCATGTACACTGAACAGAATTATAAACGCAACACTTTTGTTTTTGCCCCCATTTTTCATGAGCTGAACTCAAAGATCTAAGACTTTTTCTGTGTACACAAAAGGCCCATTTCTCTCAAATATTGTTCACAAATCTGTCTAAATCTGTGTTAGTGAGCACTTCTACTTTGCCGAGATAATCCATCCACCTCACAGGTGTGGCATATCAAGATGCTGATTAGACAGCATGATAATTGCACAGGTGTGCCTTAGGGCTGGCCACAATTAAAGCTGTGAAGAGAACACCTCTCCAAAGTGCCAGACGCCATCGAATGTGAGCATTTGCCCACTCAAGTCGTTTACGATGACGAACTGCAGTCAGGTCGAGACCCCGATGAGGTCGACGAGTATGCAGATGAGCTTCCCTGAGACGGTTTCTGACAGTTTGTGCAGAAATTCTTTGGTTATGCAAACCGATTGTTGAAGAAGTTGTCCGGGTGGCTGGTCTCAGACGATCTTGGAGGTGAATGCTGGATGTGGAGGTCCTGGGCTGGTGTGGTTACACATGGTCTGCGGTTGTGTGGCCGGTTGGATGTACTGCCAAATTCTCTGAAACGCCTTTGGAGACGGCTTATGGTAGAGAAATGAACATTCAATTCACGGGCAACAGCTCTGGTGGACATTCCTGCAGTCAGCATGAATGAATGTGTTTGGGATGCTCTGGATCGGCGTATACGACAGCGTGTTCCAGGTCCTGCCTATATCCAGCAACTTTCCACAGCCATTGAAGAGGAGTGGACCGTCATTCCACAGGCCACAATCAACAACCTTTTCTTTTCTTTTTTTTTGGGAAAAAAATAAAAAAATAAAATACAGTAAAACTTTTATAGTGGCCAGTCTAAGGCACACCTGTGCGATGATCATACTGTCTAATCAGCATCTTGATATGCCACACCTGTGAGGTGGATGGATTATCTCGGCAAAGGAGAAGTGCTCACTAACACAGATTTAGACAGATTTGTGAACAATATTTGAGAGAAATAGGCCTTTTGTGTACATAGAAAAAGTCTCAGATCTTTGAGTTCAGCTCAAGAAAAAAGGGGGCAAAACCAAAAGTGTTGCGTTTATAATTTCTTTCAGTGTAATTACAATTTAATTAACATATTACACTTAAAATGTTTAACTTAAATGTGATTAGCTAAACTTTAGAGATTTTCCATGTGCCCTGATAAAAATGATTATGTGGTAAGTACATAAACAAATACTACAGAAATTTACAGAAATTTCTACCTGAACAAGTTATTTAAAAAAAAGTACATTTTACTTATTGTTTTTCCATGTGGTTAGTATATATTTGTACATTGTATACATTGCATTATATAAATACTGCAGCCCTTGCTGAAGTGCACTTAATTGTTTTAAATATTCACTTGCAGCATACTTCAAATCTTAAAAGTATTTGTAAACAACTGTACTTGCAGATAATATAATATTAATGAAATAAAAGGCCTCTTAAATGTACTTAAAGAGAGAAGACATCCAGGACTGTTACTTAACACTCTTAAGTACACAATTAAAAAGTGCACTTTGTAGCAATGTCAAATTAAAACTTTTACTTTAAAGTACATTTTAAAATCATTGTTTTAATAATCTTTTGTCATTCTTTGAAGAATAATGTTACACTTTATTTGATAACACTTAATTTAACAGTGTCCTTGTTACATATGTTACATGCGCTTACCAATACCAATAACAGTAAATTATGCATAATTACATGCAACTAACCCTCAAACAACTACTAATCCTACCCTAACCCTATAGCAAGTACATGTAGTTAATTAATATTACTCAGTACTTAAATATATAATTACACTGTAACAATGACACCTTAAAATTAAGTGTAACCGTAGGGGTCTTTGTTACAGTGTAATTATATGTATAACTACAGTAAGTACATGTAACAAGGACAATGTACAATAGTATTACTAAGAACACAAATTCTGATGTGTTGACTGACATAATAAAGCATATGTATCTAATTATAAAACTGCGTGTGTGGTTAACTTATACATTTAAAACACATAACTTACAAGAAATTACATTAAAGTTCATTTTAGTTCATCATAAATGCTTGTCAATACATTTTGGCAGTACACTTTATTTCAAAGATAATAGAAGTAATGATGAAAATTACATATAACGATATTCTTAAGTCCTACTTAAGTGGGTAAAAAAAATTAAAGTCTGCTTTAATGAAAATGTTTGCACAGTATAGTCACAAATAATCATAATTATTTTGTATCTTTTCCGTTCCAGGGATTGTGTTCATGAACTTCTTGGACATGTGCCGATATTGGCTGATAGAACATTTGCACAGTTTTCTCAGGTAAAAAAAAAAAAAAAAAAAAGATTTATGTACAAATCCCATATTTCCTTACATCTTTGATCTTGGATCTATGTCCTGAAATCTCTCTGTTTTCTCAGAGTATTGGTCTGGCCTCTCTTGGAGCTTCTGAGGAAGATATTGAGAAACTGTCAACAGTGAGTACAACGCATCTCATCAAACTCTGCTGCTGTACACTAGAAACCCTGAATGTGTTTGTTCTGAATGTGTCTTCCAGCTGTACTGGTTCACGGTGGAGTTCGGACTGTGTAAGCAAGGAGGGAAGATCAAAGCGTATGGAGCAGGACTGCTGTCGTCTTTCGGAGAGCTGGTGGTTGGTGGCGTTTATCGAATGAATAGTTTTGACTGCTTTTTATGATGAATGCATTTGACATTTAATGTTGCCCAATGTTTTCTCAGCATTCTCTCTCAGATGAGCCAGAGAGACGGGAATTCGACCCGGACATTGTGGCTGTTCAGCCGTACCAAGACCAGACGTACCAACCCGTCTATTTTGTGTCGGAGAGCTTCATAGTTGCCACAGAGAAACTGAGGTGAGCTGCATCAAAAATACTCTGTTGCTGTCAGTGCTGTAGGTTTGGCCATCATATCATTTACTATGAATGAAAATAAGTTTTCAAAAGTGTAAATAAACGTTTTTAAAATGATTATAGTGGTCCATACATTTTTTTTTTATTTGTCAAATAATATCTACTGTTACTTATTTATTTTTTATTTATAAAACAATTTTACATAATGCATTTTTGACAACAAAATATATAACAGCGAATAATTACATTCTCTGTAATGAAAAATTAAATGAATGAATGAAAATAAATAAATATATATATTTTTAATTTGTGTCAAACTAAGTAATTAAATTAGTCAATAAAACAAATGCTCACAAATAAAATAAAAATAGGATATTACATACGTACATTTGCATTGTTTTTGTCTTTATTTTTTTGCAATCAAGTAATTTACTTTTTTTTATAAAAAAATTAATCAAAAACTTTTTCATTAAAAAGTTCATGGACATGTAATGCATTAAATAAATAAATAAATAAATGTATTTATTTATTTATTGCATTACATGTCCATGAACTTTTTAATGAACAGATATTTTCACCAAAATTAAGACTTTTGGTTAAAACATTAATGAAAATATAAGGCAAATTGCATATTTATGACACATTTTAAATGAATGCTAATTAATATTTGAAATAGTTTTAGATTACATATAGCACCACACGACATGCCGACTTTTATTCATTCATTCAGCTTATTTTACTCTATAAAAACTTAACTTAGCCTAGTCAGAACTTATAAAATCTAGCAAGTATTGACTAATAAAAGAAGGAATTTACTGCATACATTTTCATGTAATTTATTGTCTTAACTATTTGCTGTTAAATCATTTCAGGTGTTTATAACAACAATAATGAAACTTTTTTTTTTTTTAACAACAGAGCGTACGTGACCCGCATCAAGAGACCATTTTCTGTGCGGTTCGACCCGTACACAGACGGCATAGAAGTGCTGGACAACCCTCTGAAGATCCAGCAGGGGCTGGAGACCATTAAAGACGAGCTGAAGATCCTCACGGATGCCCTGAATGTGTTGGCTTGATTCTGTCTCCAGGAGCCGAACGACTCTCCTGTTCCTCTCTGCTTCACATGTGACGTCTCATCGTTATGCTGTGCGTCTACGTCTACATCTGCTGCTATACTGACGTCGTTGCTTTTAAAACAGCCTCAAAACTTCATGTTGGAACTCTATACCAGAAACCTTAAAGCAGGGGTCTCAAACTCAACTTAACTGGGGGCCGCTGGAGGTAGAGTCGGGGTCAGGCGGGGCCGCATCAAGTATTCCACAAAAAATAGTATTCAAGTATTCCAAAAAAGGAGCACAACTGATCCAATCTTCTCAATATTTATTATTAACGTTTCTTCTGAACTGTTCCTCTGAATTTGAACATTCCTTTCTGTACATGATTGGTTCTTCATGAGCTGTCCTTCTGACAGTTGAAGTTCATTTTACAAACTTCCTATCGTCGATAACACATATTTGTGATATTTATATTTGCTTATGTCCTTTTTATTTTCTTTATACAACACATTAATGATATTGAATGTTTTTTTTGGAAGGCACATTTCCTTTTATTATACTTAGAAAAACAATTATTGCTTTTGAAATACAAATATTTGCAGTCATGTCTGCCCGTCTTATTAAATTTCTTCTACACATGTATAGTGTCTCAAATTACTGACTGCACAAATCAAAGCAAACCTTCTTATCAACCTGTTGGACACATATTACAAGCTCAAAATGATTATTCTCACATTGTTTTAGAGCAGGGGTCTCCAACACGTCGCTCGCGAGCTACCAGTAGCTCGTGGCCTGATTGGTGGTAGCTCGCCAAGGGGGCGTTCACATATCGCGCTCACATATTTTGCGCGCTCAAGTTCGTTATTTCAAATGTAGGCGCGCGGCAAGCGCGCTCATAATTGAAGCGACGCGCTCATTTTTTCCAGGCGCAGTATGTTTGTACTTCGCGGTTGTCTATGACAACTATTGACAACAAACCCACCGTAAGCTGTCACGAGACTATCTATGGTAGCCCATAAGGGATAATTTTATTTTATTTTTTAAACGCGGCACACGCAACGACGGGCCGCACTAACATTAAACTTTAATGTCAAGTAGGGGGCCACAAAATATCACCCCGCGGGCCGCAAATGGCCCGCGGGCCGCGAGTTTGAGACCTCTGCCTTAAAGGGATAGTTCACCCCAAAATGAAATTTCTACCATCAATCACTCACCCTCATGTCGTTCCAAACCTGCATGCGTTTCTGTCTTCTGTAGAACATCAAAAAGATATGTTGAAGAAAGTCTGTATCCAAATAGTTTTGGTTCGTACGGACAAAACATACAATGAAAGTCAATGGGAACCGAAACCATGCATTCTTCAAAATCTTCTTTCATGTTCCACAAAGAAAGTCACACAGATTAAAAGAGGGCGATTAAATGATGACAGAATTTTTATTTTTGATCTCTGGATTAATGGATCACTCTGTGATACTTTACTAAACAAAAATTGTGTCAACATGATATGAATTAAAAAAAATTTATCATGCCCATTGTAAATTAAGCTAATAAGGGGGGCGTTTACACGACAACGTTTTCAACTAAAAACGTAAAACTTTTTTACGCGTTTCGGCCGTTCATTTACGGCATTTTGGGGACCTGAAAATGCTAACTTTTGAAAACGGGATTCAAAGCGCACGTTTTTGAAAACGATACCGTTATCGTCTGTCTGTAAACTACAAAATTTGAATTGTGAAAACGGTGACGTCATGCGTATGCGAACTACGTGTTTCGTCTATAGGTGTGTAGTTTTCTTTACAGAGTGGCATCGCCATCTACTGGCCTGGCATGAATAATACAGCGTTTTTAGACATTTTTGCGGATCCGTGTGAACGATATCGTTTCGACAACGTTGTCGTCTGTAGGCGATTTTTGTTTTTTTGCGGTAAATCGTTGTTGTGTAAACATACCCTGAAGCTATTGAAGACAAAAGTTATTTATGAAATATCACCAGATTATACAAAAAAAATGTAAAAACAACTGTACAATATATTATCAAATGTGTATAATCAATACAAAATCGAATGTATTAGTATTCCAAATATATTCCTAAAATAATACATTGAGCTGATTCTTCTACAGATGGTAGAAATATTTTATTATCAACAGCAAATCATTCACAAAAAGAAAACACTGGCCTACTGATTGGTGCCTGTTTATATTCAACCTTCTTCAGAAAATATGAAATATAAATATGAATAGTCTCTGCAAAGTCAAACAATGCATAAAAAGTGGAAATACCATTGCTGTTATTAAGCATACATAAAGTTGCAAGAAAACTGTGTAGTGCAAATTGGATATGTGCTATTATAAAGAAATATATTTGAAAACATCCCAAACTGTTCTTGTGGTTTACTTCCTGACTTTATATTAAATCGACGCGTTCATAAATGCTTTTCACAGGAAAAGTATGTTGGCTTCAGAAGACTATTTGTCTGACTGAACCTGAAATTAAACAACCACCACCAGATGGTAGTCTAAGCATATATGTAGGTGAGGCGTCCCACACCAGCACTTTTTGATGAGCACTTTTATATTAAGGACGGCATAATGACTAGGGATTTTGCAAGGGTCGTGTCATGAGGTTAGAGGTTAGGATCGGGACGAGGACTCTGATTTTGGATCCGAAGATCTACCATTTGAATACGCAACCAACCACTAAATACATTTTAAAAATCCCACAGTGGAATACGTCATGTAGTAAATCAGTAGGTGTAGGATATTACGCTAACGAAGACTGATATATTATTGTAGCTGCATAATTTTCACAATTAAACTGAGGTCACTGAGTTTAAAACAGAGAGCTATTCAGGTCAAATATTGGATATTGCTGACTGTACATATTGGTTATCACAAAACCTCCTGTGCTTTTTACTGATGACCTCTAATGTTTTGTTCTGGACTGGTTGGTCCTGTATCATGGGCAGTTTTATACATTGTTGTGCATGGCAATGTGACTAAGATGAAAATGCAGCTTACTGAATGCAGTGAATGATTTATTGCAAGGCCCTACAGATCTTTTGGGTTTCCTGCTTCCTTCATCTGATGGATAATAGGAGACAGAGGAAGAGAGGTTTAATGTCTTTATAATGGTGCTTCCAGTAACAGAGTGCATTGATAATTCATGCCAGCAGCAGCAGGCCCCCCTTTTTTCACGCTATTCCGCTATTCTTCTTCTTACCAGCAGGGGCGCCATTTCAGTCAAAGAATACAGGACCATTGCTTTTCTCTAATTTTATCATCAATTTCTACCCGACTTCACGCTGTTTATCATCACTTTGCATATCGAAACGTTTCATTTGCGTTGTTTTAGGCAAGAAGCTGTTTAATTTTACAATGCACGGTTTGTGATTTCCACATTTTGCCTGTCGTGTTTGCCGATACGGAATTTCATTGAAGATTTCCAACCCTAAAATGAGTTTTCATCAAATATTCATTGGCCAATGCAATCACACCTTTTAAAAAAAATAAAAATAAAATAGCTTACATTCATCTTAATGATCATGGCATTCAAAACAATGAACAAATTACCATGTTTATTATGTATAGTATAGGCCTATATTATATACATATATTATGTATTTAGTTATTATATTATATAATATTATATTATAGTCTATACAGTTTGCAATATATATATATATATATATATATATATATATATATATATATTGCAAACTGTATATAATATAATAGACTAATATAACTTAATATAATATAACATAATAACTAAATGCATAATATATGTATATATCGCAAACTGTATACAATATATATATATATATATATATGCCTTACATTTTAAGTACAATCAACTTGGATGTTTAAGTCATTTAAACTTAAATTACATTAAACTGACTTAAAATATTTTAACCTTGTAACTAATAAATAAATAAATAAAAAACAGGTGAAAATTGCTTAACTTATTTTGATGTAAAAACATATGTTGTCATACCTTATTGATCATATATATTTTTTAATATAATTTATTGTTCACATGATAATTATAATTTAAAACAATTTCAAAAGCTGTTTTAGTAAGGCAGTAGACATTTTGGACCCTGCATTTCATATCAGATGGAGACTAGTGTCCACGAAGAAAAACATCTGCACCAAATAATGGCCCTTATTGCTTTGCCAGGTGATGGATGACATTTCCAAGTAATTCAATCAAACCAATTTAAGTTCAATTCAAGTCGAGCTAATTCTTCATTATCCTCTCAGTGCTCTGAATGGTCAGCCTGTAAAGTGAATTACCATCATTACAGCCACTATTCGCGTGAGGATCGATAAGGCAGGTGGATATCAGAGGAAATGACGGCGTAAAGCGTTTCATCTTCACTCCTTATCATCCGGGCACTTTCCATTGTAAAATTTTACACATCGACTGTCCTGACAGAACTCTGTACACTGATACTGATGACGTGTGCGTTTCTGAAATGTCGAACGTTGTCTTATTCATTATTTGATTCTAGGCTACATTATAAATGAACTGGCTGAGATGGTGTTCAAATAATTTGTGAAATAACGATGTAGCCGTCATAATATTTTAGGAAAGCATAGCCTATTTGTTTTATGCTCGTTGACCTTTGTGTGATCTGGAATTCTTGGAAAACTGCTGGAGATTCACTGACCACCTCGAGTTTTACCTCACGGACATGCGCACGAGAGGGGCGGGGGGTGGAGGGGGGTGTTAAGGGGCGGGTTTGGGTATATAATAGTTCTCTCACAGAACTTTTGCCTGTCGCCTGATTTTTGGGACAGCTCCACACAACATCCTAACACCAACTGGGGAAACTAACAGACCTTTTCAACCAAATACAACAGCACCGCGTATTTTTTTTACGTTGTCATGGAGGACCAACTAAAACATCATTCTGTTTGCCATACCTGCTTGAGAACAGACAGTTTCATAAATAAGGTAAAGAAAATATTTTGACAACCTTAAGGAAATCTTGGACATATCTGAAGATATTCTCTTTTTTTGTTGTTGACTTGAATAAACATCAGAAATTGACAGGTTTGGAAACGAAAGAGATTTTAGATGCAGTCTTTTGCACGTTCAGTTCGCGTAATGCAACGGAGATGTTTTTGACACTCTAAACTGCTAACAGCTCTAAACATTTTGACA